AACTCAGCTAAAGGGCATCGGATGTGCTGAATTACTTGCAAATTCACTGAAGTCCAAAGCTCCGGAGGATGCATTGCCAGTAAAAAAAGTAAAGAGACCTAGGAGAGGAGAAGCCAACCACATTCCTGACATTCCAACTGGAGAGACTCCAGATAATTTGGAAGATGACAGAGTGACACTTTTGAGTGAAGTGAGGAAGCGAAACAATCTTGCAGTGATAAAGAACAAAATGGACAAGACCTTTTCACTGCGAAGACAAGAAATTGTGGCAAAGGAATCAGGAGTGGAAGAGGTGAAAGAGAGATGGCCTGCATTGTTCACAGTGGATGAGGTAAGTAACTTTTTCAGTAGCAATAGGTCAGTGGTGGCCTGTAAATCAAATGATATTGATTAAGCCAAAGCAATTCAGAATGCATATTTAGGTCCTGTCACAAAAAAAGTCACAAAAAAGATCTCACACAACACACAGTTTTAATGTAATATGTAATATACAATGTAATAACATTTGCTTGTGATATTTTGTTTTATATAGATCAATGCTGAATTTATGAGGATTATTACTGTTCCACTTCAACCGCGATTCCTGGCTTCTTTGGACAAGCACCACAGCAAGCTGATTGAGATCATCAGGAACAAGGGAGGAGCTGTCAGAGAGAAGACACGGGGTGTGCTGAAAGTTCTTGATCAGGTGTGTATTTGCTCAATACTGCAAAACTTGCCTTGTATCAGATAAATAGTAAAATTGTAAATAAAATAATGTTCATGTGTCATATTGTCAGCACATTTGATTGTGGAGTTAGATCACATGTTGGACAATGTTTATCTTCTGAGTTTGACAGGCTATTCACTGGTTTGCCCAAACAATTTGTTATACAGCAATTACTGTAGGTCTAAATTCTCATTTATACATTTTCGTGTTTGCATCTTCAGTCAAGTTGCACAATTTGACAGCATGATTTTGCGTTGTTTGTGTTTTGCACTCTCACCTAGAGCCTGGATGTGAGCCTAAAGAGAGAGTGTCTGCTGAAGTGCCTCATCTTGTACCTTGGGGAAGACGTACAAAAACTGATCAAGGAGTTTCTGGTAAGATATTTTGCAGTTAATCACTTCAGCTTCAGACAAGATAGGACATTGGGTATTTAAACTTTAAAGCTCATTTACATGATCTCAGGTCCTATAAAACTACTCAGACTGATTTATGATAATAAATTCATGTACATTTGCTGATGCCATTTAAAATGTCTACACTACACACACAACATACAATACATAACATACAGTGAGCAAGTAAACTCTAGCAGATGGAGCATGAACACTTGTCCAGATATACTGCGAGCAGTCTCACAATGAGGACTAGATGGAGCAGAGACCAGGAGCTGCTGCTCACTTCCAGACACTTACTGGACTCTGAGGAGCTCTGGAGGAATCTGAGTCTGCCCTGATCTCTATAACTATAACAAACTTTGCACACACATCATTCTACACAGTGAAGCTCAAACATGTAATGTTAGAAACAAGAAGAAAACACATTTTTAAATAATATTATAGTGAATCTTAACTGAAGTATGTATGTATGTATGCTACTGTACTATTTAATATTTTTATGTCACAGCAGATGTTAGAACTTTTTAGAGGATAGCTTTAAATACTTGGACCAATATTTTACTTGCCATAAAGCTGAATGTTTGAGGTTCTAGATCACGTGTCAAACTCAAGGCCTGCGGGCCAAATCTGGCCCGCCATCTCATTTTATGTGGCCCGCGAGAAGTTGCAAAAAATATCATTTGCATCATACATGCCTAAACTGCATTACAGAAGTATGGTGTCCAATAACTACATGTCCGAGAATGCATCCCTTTTACACACATACTGAAGTTATTTAGTAGCTAGATGCATCATTATGGGTGTATCTGATGCATCTGACTTTAATGTGTAAGATACGAGTGCATCAGTTCAGATGGCCTGTATCGGTAAAAAGCTGAACATGAATTGGAAACAAATCAGTGCAGCACTAGTGTATCGATACATCTCATTAGGACGCGAATATGTTTCATTTTTGGCATCAAGAAGCTGCCACTGTAACCTTCCTCTGTTTTCTCTCTCCTCCTGTCTGTGTCCGCACCGCTCTTACTGGACGCCTGCTGCCGCGCTCACACAAAACAAGCGCTCCCTCCTCCCTCTCCTGTGTCTCCTCTTCATTTCATCAGAGCAGACCGCGATGAAAACAGCGACAGAGGTGGCATTGTACCGCGTCGCACCACTAAGTGTAGAATAAGTTTGTGTTTTATAAGAAAGATGAGAAACTCTGCTGCAAATCATTTATGTAAAACTTGTCTGACAGCAGAGTACAGAGCCACGAGTCTGATCCACAGAGACGTCATGTGACTGTGAGAGCAGAAAACACGGAGCATCACTGTTCCTCCACACTAATCAGAACCACAGAACTCTTCATATGAAACAGAGCAGCAGATCATCTTACTGCAAAAATACTAATATTTTAAACAGTTTTAAAGTTTGTTCACAGACACTACTTAATCTGTTTCATTTTTTAATACATAATTGTACAATTGAATGTCTACTTGCAAGATTTTTGCTATTAGAGCTTATTAGAATTGTTATAAAATCAATATTAATCAAATACAGAGGCAATTATGTGATATAGATACAATTGTATTGTCTTACATTTACAACCAGCCCTTTGAGGGCAAACCTAATGCTGATGTGGCCCAAGATGAAATTGAGTTTGACACCCCTATTCTAGGTTCAATAATAAGCACATTATTCAACACTACAATCCTGACAACGTAATCACAGAACAGAAAAATATACACAATTCTCATATGTGCAAATATGGCAATAGTAACCAAGTTAACAACCCAATATCCACACATATTATATCAAAAAGCTGAGTTACATGGCCCAATACCACCATGTCAAATACAGCATTTAACAAGGGCTGTCACAGCGCACATGTCTGCTTCCCATGGAGCCATTAACACCTGAGTTACTGACTATTCATACTTACCAAACACACAAGCAACTCAGTCGTAATCATAAAACGATAACAAATATCTCTTATCTATCAGTGAAGAAATACAAGTATGGAATTTAACAAGATGCGACACAATAAACACAATATAAGTGTAACAGAAATGGTACTTACTTTTTTTTGATTCACTTGACACTCGGGAGTACAATAAATGTTTTGTCTTTTGTCAGGTTGCTGAGAAGGATGACGCCGAAAGAGGAACATCACCAGCGGCAGCCCGACACCGGCGGACAGCTGCGGGGGCGCGCCGATGGCCCAACGCCTAGCAGCAGATCCGGAACCGGTCCCCTCACCAGGGAACATCACCAGCGGCAGCCCAACACCGGCGGACATCTGCGGGGCTGTGCCGACGGATAAGCGCCTAGCAGCAGATCCGGAGCCGGTCCTCTCACCGGGGAACATTACCAGCGGCAGCCCAACACCGGCGGACATCTGCGGGGCCGTGCCGACAGCCCAACGCCTAGCAGCAGATCCGGAACCGGTCCTCTCACCAGGGAACATCACCAGCGGCAGCCCAACACCGGCGGACATCTGCGAGGCCGCGCCGACGGCCCAACGCCTAGCAGCAGATCCAGACCCGGTCCCCTTACCGGGGAACATTACCAGCGGAAGCCCGACACCTGTGGACATCTGCGGGGCCGCGCCAACGGCCCAGCGCCTAGCAGCAGATCCGGACCTGGCACTCCCGCCTGGGCTCACAAGCGGGAGTGCCAGGGTCCAGTTGCAGGACATATATCCAGATACGGTAATGCAAAGACACTCTCTAAAAAGGTCAAAAATGATATCCACTGTAAAACACCTTTAACTGTGGATGCAGCACTACATAAACAACGACAGTTTAAATTGTTGCAAACTGTAAATCATGCCAAAAGTTATAAGCGCATTGTGGAGTAGATTGAGGCTGCCTATGGGCCTTGTTCAGAAAATGCTTCAGCCATCGGTATCGAACTGAGGCAGAGAACGAGAAAACCAGGTGAGAGCCTACACATACTAAGAGATGACATCTATGAAAAGGTTTCGATTGCGTATGCTGATCGTGGAAAGTTGGAGCAGGATGCTATCAGTGTGGAGATATTCACCAAAGCCTTGGCTGATGCTAAGCTGGTTCAGAAACTCCTGGAGCAGAAGCCACACACACTGGCGAGAGCCTATGACATCGCCCGTGGGTAAGAGACCACCAGAAGGGCTGCCCAGGCAGTCACACAGCTCATGCGGTCAGGTGCAGCCAGTGCTCCTGAACGGAGAACCAGAGCAGCTACAGTACGTGAAAATGATGACCTGTTTTGTGATGGGGAGCCAGGGAGGGCACCAAAATCTCTCCCTCAGTGGCGACAAAGAAAAGTCGACAGCCCTAAGAAAATAGACTTGGGGGAGGTTGTGTGCCACAGCTGTTCAGGCAGTGGATATTTTCAGAGACATTGCCCCTCCCCCCGTCGACCCAAACAACCAGCAATGAATGCCACACTGTCTCCTGCACGGGCCCCAGCACCTATTCCAGCCACAGTGGTCGTGAGTGCCAGAAGCCAAGAGGAGGAGGACTGGAAATCTGTGCCTTGTTGGACTCTGGGGCACGGAGGAATGTGCTGTCCCTCCACCGTTACAACCAGGGCATAAAATTAACTTTTTACCTCATCTGCTATTGGCTAGTGACCTCCAAAAATTTACCGGCCAAACATATTTTTCACCAGCCAAATAAAAAAAATCGTGCCTTGTTTGACTTAAATAATTACCTTACGTTTTTCGTATGAAAATCCAACTTTAGGAAAATCCAACCCTGTCCTCCGTGTTTCTTTGGCGTGCTTGCGGCAAAGGCTGCAGCTCATCGTGTTGGTGTGGGAGTCGTAGATCAGCCATGACCGCGGCTGGCCAGCGTTGTCTAGTTTCCATTTTTCAATAAAATGCAGTGCGACATTTGTACTCCATTTAACTGTCTGTTCTTCCTGTTCAAATCCAACATGTTCATCTTCATTTTTCCTCTTCTGGTGGTGGCTTCACGGCAGAAATGTGTCACCACATCTTGCTCAGAAGTTACCATAAAATGCCCGGGGTTCCGGTAGCTGATGTCATGCGTTCCCGGCACACGTACAATAAGCCGCGAGGGTCAAAATGGTCTGACACAGCTGGCAGAAATGGTCAAAGCACATAAAAAACCCAAATGCAATTCAAAATTTTTCATCGGTCACTGGTGGGTGTGTGTTTTTGTTTTACATGCCAAACTCATTTTTTACCCGCCATTGGCGCTTGGTGGGTGTTAATTTTACGTCCTGGTTACAACACCTTTCCCGCAAAGGCCAGACCCCCCCATCCAGCCGTCGATCGCTGAAATCCTGCAGGGAGTGGGGCCTGTAGTGTAAAAGTCAAAACCCTCATCAGGTGTTAGACCATATAAGTTGGATAAGATACAAATAGCTATATAACCATGTTAGTGTGTAGACTTTTGCAAAAACTAATCCTGCATTCATGTGTAATATGCAATATAACGGTGTAAACTCTTAGTGACATCTCAGTTGTGAACTCTTATTGACACACATAACCTATCACGCGCTGTGTAATGATATAATGCATTAACCTACACTCACAT